TGTTTCTCATTAGAAATTTTCTGAATTTACCGGACACCATTAATCAACTAATGTTTGTTACTCGAAATGAGTACTGGATGCTTAGTTATTTGAATAGTAGAAGATTTATAAACTGTTAGTAGATTCAATGAAAGCTTACACTCAAGACAATACAATAATTATCTTATATAGAGCAATACTTAAAGTTTCAGCTTTTTCAAATGTTTCACTATAACTAATAACACTTTTTCGAATTTCTGAATAATGCATTCATTTATAAGTGGTGCACTCACTTCAAGACCTGCAGGTTAATATAAATAACTACTACTTTAAATGAATAAATCGTAATAAAGTCTACTATATATATTAGAGGCTTTTTGCCATGAAGTTGATCTCTAGAATTACGTATCAAACGAAACTGAAATACTATTCATAAATTTTAATAATGTAATGATCAGTGATATTTCTTGAGAATTAACTTGGTTTGTTTTATCACTTCCATGCATGCTTGAAACTGTTTGTTATTTTCACAAATCTAGTTTTTATTTCAAATAATCAAACTGGATTTATTCTAAAATGGATACAAAACATACAATATGTCATAATATTTTTGTCTGGCCAGATACGGCTATACAGACCAAATCGCAACTCTACGGATCATTGTGGAACAATCAATTGAATGGAATTCATCAATCTACATCAACTTCATCGACTACGAAAAGGCATTTGATAGCGTGGACAGAACAACACTATGGAAACTTCTTCGACACTACGGCGTGCCTCAGAAGATAGTCAATATCATACAGAACTCATATGATGGATTACACTGCAAAATTGTGCATGGAGGACAGTTGACAAAGTCATTTGGAGTGAAGACCGGTGTTAGGCAAGGTTGCTTACTCTCACCCTTTCTCTTTCTCTCGGTGATCGACTGGATCATGAAGACGTCAACGTCTGAAGGAAAGCGCGGGATACAATGGACATCTAAGATGCAGTTGGATGATCTAGACTTCGCAGACGATCTGGCAACAACAGATGCAGGAGAAGACGAAAAGTGTGGCAGCAGCCTCAGCAGCAGTAGGTCTCAATATACACAAAGGGAAAAGCAGGATTCTCTGATACAACACAGAATGCACCAATCCAATCACAATTGACGGAGACGATTTGGAAGATGTCAAAACCTTTACGTATTTGGGCAGCATCATTGATGAACAGGGTGGATCAGATGCAGATGTGAAGGCGCGGATCGGCAAAGCAAGAGCAGCATATTTACAACTGAGGAACATCTGGAACTCAAAGCAACTGTCAACCAACACCAAGGTCAGGATTTTCAATACAAATGTCAAGACAGTTCTACTGTATGGGGCAGAAACCTGGAGAACTACAAAAGCCATCATCCAGAAAATACAGGTGTTTATTAACAGTTGTTTACGCAAAATACTTCAGATCCATTGGCCGGACACTATTAGCAACAACGTACTGTGGGAGAGAACAAACCAGATCCCAGCGGAGGAAGAAATCAGGAAGAAGCGCTGGAAGTGGATAGGACACACATTGAGGAAAGCACCCAACTGCGTCACAAGACAAGCCCTCACATGGAATCCTCAAGGCCAAAGGAAAAGAGGAAGACCAAAGAACACATTACGCCGAGAAATGGAGATAGACATGAGAAAAATGAACAAGAATTGGATGGAACTAGAAAGGAAGGCCCAGGACAGAGTGGGTTGGAGAATGCTGGTCGGCGGCCTATGCTCTATTGGGAGTAACAGGCGTAAGTAAGTAAGTAAGTAAGTAAGATACGGCTATGCAGAAGCAAAGAATTAAAGCTTAGCTCAAATTTAATATAACTTCATGTTCTTCATCACTTGATGTAAGTTTTATTTACTACTACACCCTCCCCATTGCGTGAATTAGGCTCCAGAAAAGTGTAAGGTGAGATAGATCATATCATAAAAATATGCACTCTGACTAACTGAATTAGTTACATCATATCATGGTAGATTTATCAATTCATTAACATAACTCAGTTTCATTTACGTGTTTAACTTCTCTGACTTGAAACTAAACCAAATTTCAAGTATAAGCTGACAGTTTCTATATTTAGTTAACCAATAACAATGATAATTTTAAATATCTCAGAGTAAAGTTCGTTTCTTTTACTTCTTCATTGTTCTATTCCGATTTCTGACAATGTTAGTTTTGTAAATCTGGTTACTGACTGCATAGATTTTAAATTTATTAATAACCTCTCTTGTCGGTATTTAAAAGATATTTAACTGTTTACTATATTTAACTTTGTGCTAAAACCAAAATTGAATCTTTAAATCATCCACCTAAAAGAAAGTAAATTTTAATGATTCACAATAAAGAAAGTGATGATCTCAACTTTATGACAAACATCAATTGGATAGTAAACGTAAATTACATTTTTAACTGTTGCAGAAATTTATAAGACCTTTCATCCAAATTTGATCGAATAGCTTCACAGTATTTGGGCGCCGAGTTAATGTGAGACATTAAAGAGGAAGAATGTATTTGTAAAATCCAACCTTTTCACTTGGCGATCTGATCCAAGCTTTTATAAATATATTTTTCCTCTTTAATGTTACAGAAATGTTTTACAATAAAACCACATTCTATGATATTTTATTCGAAATGCATTACTTTATACTTGGTATATCAGGAATATAAGTTATTTCACAAAGAGTTACTCTGTTTAGTGTATTCACGACAGCATCTAACCTGTTTGTAGATCAAGAAAAAAGCACCAATTCAATGAAAATCTCTATCATCTCAAAATTAATTATATAGTTCCTTCGTTGAAAGTGTACTGTTTTTGAAGTACTAATGACATTTATTTTAATGATTCTTGGATTTTTGTGAAAAATACACACTGCTATGAAGGATAGCTTAAATTACATTGAGAACTAAGTCAGAAATGTGAAAAATCTAAAAATATTCAGTTATAATAACATTGAATTGATAAAGCATGAGGTTACATGATTTATGAAGTTTTGTAGGGAGCTTAAAAGTGTTTGGCAGTTAAGAGAAAAAAAATGTTAGTGATATGTGTGCTCATCCGTTTGCATACAAACCTCTTTTCCACACTACTTACTACCTTCACTTCTAAACAACACTCTTAGGGCTAATCTTCAATCAAAATCCTAACTATAACTCAATCGGAAGCCTAAATCCTAATCCTAAATCAAACTCTTAACTCTGAATCTCAACTAAAGCTCGTCATTCAAACAGTAACGTTTTTAGTGCTATGCCTTACAATGTATTCATACATTTCACGTCTATTCTGATGGACTAAAAATTACCACTACTTTCATAAATTCATTTAAAATGTCATTGAAGTTTACCAGTAAAGTCTACTTTGACCATTTCATCATTAAATTTAATCCATTAAAAGGTTTTATTGAACTACACACTAATTTTAAATAAACAGAAGTGTAGACGCACGATACAACTAAGTATTCAGGTATTATCACTTATATAACTAGATTTACCATAACTAGCTGTTAATTAATTATAATGTAGTAAAAACTGTTTTACGCTAACATAACGTATAAACGTCTGAAGACTGAAAGTTCTTCTGTGAAACTAAGTATTGGTTGTTGCTGAATGAATGAAACCATGTAAAAATAAATGTTGATCCAAAAGTTAGTGACTTCAAGTTATTAGTATTGTTGACTGAACCTGATCGATCTCCATTAAATCTGAGCTCTCGCAACTGGTGCTTAGATACTATTTACAGCTACAAATTCACAAACTTTTTAAATAATGAATAATAATAAAATGAAAGATATTCGTCTCAACCTAAATTGGAACAAGCAGCTAATTATATCAGTATGAAGAACAATTTGATACACGGGCAAATATAAATTGTAAGTTATTACTAAGATAAAAAGCACATGCTGGGTTATACAGTTAGCCATCAAACAAATAATTCTGTGTGTATAGGGTTGTGGAAATTGTTGCATTAATATTGATATCATGAATAGACCAATTTTAGACCACTATTGAAAATCTGGGAGCATTGTACTACACTAATGACGACCATTTAGTCATAGTATGGGACTCCTCACTAGTGCATATCCATGATCCCTCACTTAGGACTCAAACGTAGGACCTCCAGTCTTGCTCACGAACGCTTAACTTGTATATCACTGTGCCGGCACCCAACGGTTTAAAGTTTAACTTCAACCAATCGATGATATTGTGCGCCCGTCTTCAGGGAGTTAATGCTCCACAACAGAGACGGTTGAACATCACCGGTCACGGCTTCTCATTAGAACTCTAGGAAATCCATCTTGAAGCCAGTCACTAGTGAGCACATGATAATTATCAGTATAGGGTTGTGGAGATTGTTGAGTTTAGATGGATATCATATATAGATCATGAATTGATACACACTGCTGATCAGTCCCATACTAGAACGAAATGGCCTTCCATTACTTCCACGTTTTCAATGGTGGTCTAATATTGCTCTATGCATGATATCAGTCCAAATGATGCTATATAAAAAGGTCATTCAATCACTATGTTAGCGTTTTACCTTCTTTCCTTTAACCACCAAAAACGATCAACAACTTAACTGTTTTCATTTAGTTGTGCTAGTTGACTCAACATTTACACATAATTGATGTCTTTCCAATGTTTACAGTTAATCATCCTTTTTTTGTCATTTATTGAGTATCACCCACGCAACTTATGATGACATAATCAAAATAAATAAAATAATCTACCAACAAAAATTAAATAAAATTAATACTAAATTATACTACTTTTTTTTCAAATTAAATCATGATCACAATTGTAGATATATGCACATAATATTTACTTTATTTTGGCATTTCTTCATCTTTCATTGTACATTGAACCGATTAATCTGATTGGTCATTCTATTTAAAAATAAACAAGTGGGCGTTTAATTCTGCACAATTCACAAGAAATCTCTCACTATCATTTGAGTATAAAAAGGAAATAAATAAATAAACAAATAAATAAATAAATAGAACTGAAAATTCATATCGATTAAAGTCCGTTACCCTAAAAGGGAAAAAAAGTTTTTCATTTACATCCTTGGAATTAACAACCAGAAAACGATATTTAAAGAAAATGCTAATCAAATTTCTACTTTACTGTAAGTTATGAACAAATGTTTGTAGCTTCAAGTGTTCTCTGTTGTTTTTCTTTTTTTTTTATAAAAAAAATAAACATTTGAGTGTATTATTCATTTTTTTTCTTTTCAAAGAATTCTGTTTTTGAAAAACAAATAGTATTCACACTTTTAAACCTTATCAAAAGTGTACCAGAAGATGGATGCTGACAGGTACATGGTGATTTGTAATCTGAGTTTTAATAATTGAATTCATGAGTTGATCTAAGCTAAATCATCAGTGAAAACCTGAAAGCACTGGATTGCTGTTTCATCCTGGTACAGGACTCATCACTGGTGCGCATCCATGATCCCACACTTGGGACCTAAACTTAGAACGTTCAGTCTCGTGCACGAACACTTAACCTTTATATCACTGAACCGACACCCAACAGTATTAATGTTTAGCTTCAACCAATCCATAATCTTGCACAACCTTTCATCTATTGTCTGAGGTGGATAACTATCTCACACCGAACAGGGATTGAACTTCACTGGTCACAGCTTCTTACTAGAACTCTCAGAAAGCCATCTTTAAGCTAGTCGTTAGCGATAGTAATCTATGAAATATATTTATACACAGCTTAAAGTCTTAGCAATGATATAAATTGACTGTTTATAAATATATGAAAAATGTACACATTTAAGATGAATTTTATATATTTAGTAATGTATCAATAAACTCAACATGTTTCATATATTTAATTGTCCTGACCATGTGCAGAGTAACTGTTTATATACCTGTGTTCCATACTCAAGGGAATTGATTTTCAGTTATATATTATGAATAGGGAAATTGATCTGTGATGAAATCAATTTCATATTTAGTAATGTAATGGTTTCATTTTAATAAGTATTGAAAATAACGATGAATGAATTTAACATTTACACTTGATAGTTGAATATTAGAAGGAGACATGTATGGCAGTAGTTTAGTTAGTAATCTATTCTTCATAAATTAAAACCCATTTAAATCACCTGGGAAATTGGTTGAATGTCATTATGTATATATGGTAATAATGAATCTAGATAAAAATTAATTGTTACCGTGATTAAAATAATGTTAGCAGACCGAATTTGTTCATTAAAAAAAAGTAAATGCACAAACCCAGCTAGTTACTAATAAAGGAAATATGATAAATTCTTTTATTCAATAAATTTTGTTATTCTTCAAATGAGTATTAATAATTAAAATAATGGTATTCTCTTACAAAGAACAATGAGCAGACAAATATATTCATATGTAAATAATCAGATTAGCTCACTTGGTGTTGTTTTACTTGTATCTTCTTATTGTTCTTTAGGACTGCAACTGATCAGTCTCTTGTTGGCATATGTGAGAATTGTCTCAATATTGCCTTATGTCACAAGCTTTATAAGCAAAGATGATTAGTGGCTAGCAGTGGAATCCAGGACGCACATTTCGTGCTATTTGGTACTCGTCAGCTGGATGTACCTGTATGTAGGAGTTGATGTTCACTCTGAGACTTGAACCCAGTACCATTCGCTTCAAATGCCATCGCGTTATCCACTTAGCTACTGAGTTCAGAAGGCCACATTCTCACAGCACCGCACAAGCAATTGGTTAACTGGACTCAGTAGCTAAGTGAATAACGCGATGGTATTTGAAGCGAATGGTTGTGGATTCAAGTCTCAGAGTGAACATCAACTCTGAGATGTAGGTACATACAGCTGACGTGTCTCAAACAACACGAAACGCGCGTCTTGGATTCCACTGCCAGCCAATAATCATCTTTGCTTATAAAACTCAGATAAATGTTTAATTATTTCAATGTACAGGGATGGAATAAATCACAATACTTAAATACAGATAATTGACAGGTCAGTGAGTAGTGATTGGTAACACGTTTATCTTATCGTTTAGTAGTAATCAAGTTCTTTTAATCACTTTGTTGTGTAACCATTAGACTAGGTCACTTGATATCACACATACTGTTTTTAGATGTTAGGTGAACCTAAGCAGGTTAGACTGAAGCTGTCTGACCGAGGTTCGAATCGTACCAAAAATATCAATCCCCTTAAAATTATAAAGATTACACCGATAACTAACCAGTGTCAACAACCATAAAACCTATGTTCATAATTCTCTGTTGATTATTCCGAACCACCTTGTACTTGAATATATAACTAAAAATACTTTATTATTATTCAGTCATGCAAATATTAACATAATAGTTAGAGAATATCATTCGTGTAATCGTTCTTACACTCTTTAATTCGTTAGTAGTAAAGATAATTCACTTAAATAGCTTATCATTATAAAATTAGATATTACCTATATAGTAACTGTATACAAGTTAATGTAAGCAGTTCTGTTAAACTGACTAATTATTATTATTATTAGTTTGTAAACGAATTCAGTTTGTTCTTCTAGTTTCATTTGAAGTTATACTTAACTTCTTAGTTCGATTTCATACATTCATTACTTAACCTACTGCTATCACAATAGAAAAGGTCAAAAACTCGTGTAAATTAAATATCGAATTGACAATAGCTTAACTAAATTCAAATGTGATTAAAGTAAATGAAGAATAATTTTATTAAAAAAAAACATTTCTGAATTATTATTTAAAATCGTTTTATTTTATCGTTTGAATGAAAATAATAAAGTTTTTGTCTAGTTTCTTCGACATGATAAAACGTCTCAGTAAATGTTATTAATAGACAGACAATCTACACAGAATGTACATTTAGGGTCCTGAATGTCAACAACGAGAAGACATAAACATTCTTGAAAGATTCAATATTTTTTAAATCTGTACTAATTATTTACTAATAGATAGTTCATTCGAAAACGAAATCAGATTGGAGAGAAAATCATTTACTTTTGGATAATGATTTCTTGCTAAAATACTGATTTCTTCAATATACTCATTATGTAAATATTACATAAATATAATGTCTTGATATTGATACATATATATATGTGATGAGTACAAAATGAAGCATGAAAATTATTGACTACACAATGAACAAGCCATGAGAATAACTCACATTTCGAAAATGACTATCTTAGACAAACTTTTGATCAAATAGATTTATTATTGAAAATTGAAAAGAAAACAAAACAGCCGTTCAGTGCTTCCAGGTTTTCAATAGTGGTCTAACTTATATCGCTTCATAATTTCAATGAAATTCAACAATCTCCACAACCTCATACTGACAATTATCACGCGCTCACTGATGACTAGCTTCAAGAGGAAATTTCTAGGATTCTAATGAAAAGCCGTGACTGGTGAAATTAAATCATGTCGGGTATGAGACAATTACCCACCGGAAACAATGGAAGATGATTGCACAACATCTTAGATTGATTGAAATTAAGCACTAACACTGTCAGCTGCCGGCTTAATGGTCTAAAGATTAAAGACTCGCACATGAGACCAAAGGTCCTTCGTTTGAGTCCTACGTGTGGGATCATGGATGCGCACTAGTGAGGAGTCCCATACTACGATTGAAACAGCCGTCCAGTGCTTCCAGATTTTAATAATGGTCTAAATTTAATCAGTTCTAGATTTCAGTAAAATTCCGCAATTATTTACTTTCATATTTTAAGTAACTACTAAGATTGTTAGAACCACCCTTATCCCTGTATTTTATTTCACAACAATAGAAAAATTTGTTAGTTGTTTAAATCACTAAAAAAATCTAATCATATGTTAGATTGCAGTGCTCATTTGTGTATGCACTCGCGAGTATTTACATAAATGTTTGTTCGGGCGATGAAATATACCTTAACTATTATATGATTGTTATTGTTATATGACGTAAGCACTAAATAGAACTAACTAACTAAATAAATAAATAATACAATAGTCATAAATCTCTTTGATACACATCTTTTTCTTAGAAAACAAATGATATTCATCATTTACACCAAAAATAACACAATAAAAACAACAAATGAATGAATCAATGAATAAAAACAATCATAAAATTTTATTTAAATCTATTATCATTAAATATTCAATGTGTAGGCGGGCAAAAGCTTCAAGTTAATTAAGGTAAACAAGTGTGAATATGTTAATAAATAAAACAATGATAGAAGTCAGTTTATTATTTTGTGCCAATAATAAGTAAATACTAAAATTAGTAGTAGGTTGATGATGGGTGTTTTTTATTTTTTCTTAATAGAGGTATGAGCAGCAGTGAAGAAATTGCTTGTTTAATTGTAGATAAGTAACATGAGTGTAGGTCGACGTGTCAGGTGAAAAATAAAGTTTAAGATCTAAGTGAGAAATCATGATGATTCAATGTGAGTATGAGAAAACACAAATAATAGAATGGTTAAAATGATTGTAAATTTAATTACATTCGGATTAATGATGTTTACAAGTACTTGAAAATAGATCAGTGATAACATTACATTCAGTTGGAACAGGACACATTATCCAATTTGATAGATTGAAAAACGTTCGGAAAAGTTCTAGTTTTTAAAAAGAAAGATCAACACATGAAACACCGTATACATAGACGAACTGAAACGATTCGAATAGACGGGATCGAATACAATTAGCTGAACTGTGGTCGTTAATAGCTAATTTATTAACACAAATTTGTTCTACTATTACTTTCTCATCTCATACTTTCTAGACAAGATCGATGTACTTTCATTCGTTTTAATCATTTATTATATTCTGAAATGTCATGAATAAGCAGCCTGTTTAGTGTAATCAGTACGACCATGCAGTTATTCACATTCTATGCATACTATTTTCAGTGTAATTTAAATGATCATATAGGTAGAGTTAGGCATATATATATATTTATACATCATTTCTAATCCATTTTTCCCTAAACTTTGCTGTATATATATATATATATATATATATATATATATATATAGTTGTTCTACCTTAGTTTTGTCTTCATTTAATATCAAGCTTTTTATGAACTTGTGTTATCTCCTTGGGTTACATTATTTAGACATAATTGTTGTGTATGTCAGTAGTCACAGTATCGAGTTCCCATTAGTTTCCAATCAGAGTTGAAAAATCTCAGTCGTCTGTAAACATCAGAAACCATGACCTCAACGGAAACGCAAACTTAATTACTCACCAAAATTTAACAAATTTGTGTAATTGAGATCATGAACCAATCGATGCACAGCTAAGAAGTCTCATACTAGGACGAAACGTTCATCCAGTGCTTCCAAGTTTTCCTTGACGGTCTAACATCGATCTCAATCAAAGGGAGATGATTGCATTTTATATAGAATTATCATCATTATTATTACAAATAATTTGTCACAGTACGAAAAATGACTACTATTTTTAGTTAATACATAAGATACAATAATATTTATATTTTAAAAGTTAATTCATCACGTTCAAACATTATTCCAAATGTCCAATCTTTTATTGTTTAAAAATAACTCCTATTTGCCTAGTTATTATTCATTTTAATTATTCAATTTATAGACTTAATCATGAAAATTAATAGAGTGATTAATTTAATGAACAAATGAACGCCAAAACAGATGTTTCCTTTGTTCATCCACAACTCCTTGCTAATCCACATTTATGATTGTATAAATGATTGGACATAGGATAAAATAAATAAAAAAGATTACTCTTAATGGTTCATAAATTCTTTTTTTATTTCGTCAAAGGTAACCAAACCAAAACCCAATAAAACACATGATGATAATTGGTTCTATAATTTTAATAAAATAATAATTTGTTCGTTACTCAGTAGAGTCACGAAAGATTTCTCAATGTTCATGTAAATAACTATGAATTGTAATATTAGTTAAATGAAAAACGAGGTAATAATACACTGATGAAATTGGATAAGGATTGTGCCATATCTTAAATTGTTTAAAGTTGAAAGTGTGAACTATTAGCCTGAGAATCTATGATTAGAGATTGTAATTCTGAAGAGGTTTAAAAATACCGAATTCAATCCCATTTTAACATCGTTTGTTTACATTTAGTTTAGAAGAAATGAATAGATATAAAATAATTATTCAGTTCTTTATAACTTTCGACGTCGTTCATAGTGAAGTGTTATCTTCAAACATACTACTAATTACAAGTTGAACTACATAATATTTTCTTTCTTATTCATTTTTAGTTAAAGTTATATATTTGTAAAACTATATGACGTCATAAATGAAGTTGCTTCATGAAACTTGGTTCGTAATGAATTAGTTTAATCGAATTGATTTATTACATTCACTTGTAATTAAAATTATTATTCTATATTTTAAACGTAGAAAAACTTAAGGGAACTTAATTTAACTTTAATAAAGAATGACACTACTCACAATTAATTAATTACTAGTAATAGTAGCTATATTTCTTTTAAGGAAAGATGGATACCAAGTGAATTTATATTTCTATTATATTCCTCTCACCAACCGACCGAGATATTCGAACTGATATCATTTATTTGCTTGTTTGTTTTGTAATGACAAAGCCATATAGTGTCAGCAAGCATGAATTAATGTTTGTTTTCTGTGTGGCTATTTGAATGTGTGTTGTACTATTAATATATATATATATATATATATATATATATATATATATATATATATATATATATATATATATATATATATATATATATATATATAATAAACGTTCCGAAAATATCGTCAATAACTTTAAAAAGGTATTTAGTTATTCGTTGATTTTTTGTTTTCTCAATTACGAGGAACATTAATCAATCAATTATTTAACTAATTAATTAGTTGTTATTAGCAAAGTGTCTAGCAGTGGAATCCAGGACGAGCGTTTCGATCTAATTGAGACTCGTCAGCTGGATGTACCTACATCTCAGAGTTGATTTTCACTCTGGGACTCAAACCCAGTACTGTAATGAATTAATTAACTGGGTTTAGCCAGTATATTTCACTGGTTGAGTTTTATTCTTATAAAAACAGTACAAAACATAAATAATAAGTATTGTTTATAAGAAAAGTTATATTTAGTTATTTATTAATGAATCTTAAAAGTTGCTGATGCCTTAGTTCATTTTTAACGAATGATAAAGAATTTATAAATAATGTTCAATTTCAAATTAGTTAATAGTAGAAAGTGGCGTAAATTAAGAAACCAACAAAATGAAACCAGGAGATATTAGATGACCATCCGGTCAGATATATGTGAACTTACATGAGGACGAAGACAGAACTGTTTTATCAGAACTATTAAGATATTAGTCAGCTTTGGAAATAGTCGACATTTTTAATTTGTAATCATTCACAGTCTAAATCCATTAATTCTAATGATACTCAACTTAAATTCTTTGGTCCGATTCCTTTATGAAGTTATAAATGATCATCCTTGAGGTGTTAATTTACTGCTTTGGTCTGAGCACCCGGGCAGTATCACATTCCACACACAAATCAAGTGACTTGTGTGACCCATATGTATTCGGCACTCCTTTGTACAAATATTTATGTTTCACAGGTTGAAATCATGAGTCAGTTGAAGCTAGACCACCATTGAAAACCTGGAAGCACTGGACGGCCGTTTCGTCCTAGTATGGGATTCCTCAGCAGTGCGCATCCACGAACCCGCCCCCGACTCATGATTACAACCTGTGAAATTTACTAAAATCTCCACAAAACTCATTCTGAAAATATTTATGTGTTCAAATAAACAAATAAATTTACTAGCAGTAAACAGACATCTGGCATTCCCAAACCTAAATTTTGAGATTATTTATTCCATATTGAGAAATAATTTCAACCTCCTCATTTTATTATCATCTATTCATTCGTTCAAAACGCTAATAACTCTCAAATCCTACTTCAATATTGTGAAAAAATCCACTTCCATCCTTATTTTTCCTATTTTATTAATTTAGGCAAAAACACCAATTTTATTTGATGAAGATTTATGGTGTTGACTCAGTATGAAACTAAACAAAATACATTAAGTTTATCAAATATATACGAACAAAAAAATGTCTTAAAAATTTAAACTGAGTATGTTTCATTCATACAAATCATTATAAAAAGGTCTTGAAATTCCATAGATAGTGTTTACACTGAATAATTTACTGTAACAAAATTCCAGCCTAAATCATAATGGCATTCACTCATCGTAGTTTGGTATATAATCTCAGACGAACAGAGAAGCTCCGATTTTGAATGCTAGGGTTTTCATTGATACCACGTTTCTACAAGTAATCATTTTCTGTAACATCAGGTGATGGTTTGGACGTCTGCAGTTTATACTGGAAAGGCTCAAACGACTGTGTACCAGAGACTTAGTGTACAATCTTTTGTACCTAATAAGAGGATTACCGATCCTCTAGCTGCTGTTACTAGATAAGTCAGTGGATCGGGTTTTTAGGATTCTTCAGTTCGAAATTATATCAAATTGAAACCAGTGGCAATCTCTGTGCGTCGGCAATTCGTATTTTGAACCAAATACTGTAAGAAGAAGCCTTTACTCTATTTAAATTGTGAATTTCCAGCCATACGAAAACTTGTGAAAGCAACGGAAGGCGAACACAGATGCTAAGATTTCCTTTCCTATTTGACTATATTTTTTCGCTATCGGCGTTATTGTTAGGGAAGTATGAACAGTGGCTTTTCCTTTTCTATTCTTTAATGAAGGTAACGTGAATGCGTCAACACCACAACTTGAAGTATCGGCCGCTACAATGGTTAACAACGTGGGATTGCAATGTTCCAGTAACATTTCGGAGCTCATTAACGATTTGAGTTTACGAATTGTTGATTCATATTCATTAAAATAATCAGCCTACACCAAATGATAAACACTTGTGATGACAACAAAGTACTAGTTTTACTGTAAGTGAGATCATAATCATGTGATGATAAATTGAACTTGACTGATGATTTATTTGGAATCCGCTAGTTGAATTATCTATTTGGCGTAAGAGGTTGAAGACTAAAATGAAACCCAGAGTTTACAAGAAGAATCATTTTATACACTTCGTATATATTTCATAATTCACAGTAAGAATTATCACAGAAAGATATATGAACATCGATATTTACCCACAAACTGATGACCTTCTGGATCCACAACTTATATTCAATCATCGTATACGTGTTAAAGTCAAGCTTTACTTGCAGTTAAAATTAACAGTTTTAAAAATTAATGTCCTGAACTGTTTTTTTTCTTACATAATTTAGGTTTGTTGTTGTCTGTCAAACTACAGTTACATATTGTAAACTTACATCCAACAATTCTTGCAGATGGGAGCATAATTCGTCATAGAACTAAACGATGGGCCTTTTATGAAATACATAAATGTGGTCGTATTAAAGGATATAGTTGTTTAGAACATCGTCATTGTTATGAACGTTACCTGCGTCGTGATATGGTTTGTTTTGAAGTTTATCCATGCTTAAGTTCATGTATATTTATTGCTCAGGTAAGAGCTAATAATTCGGTTAATTAGTTATACTGTTTATACGCTTTTTGAATGTCTATTTTAATGTTACTAAGATAGAACAGATAAAACAATAATGTCCAACAACCTGATGATTATCATCTTGATGCTTATCAATGCAAATGAAAATATCATACCAGAAACATGTTAATGGTCAAATTGTTAGGCGCTAGTCAGATCACCTGAAGGTTTTAGGTTCAATCGTGGTAGAATCGTTGGTGTGCACTTCTGAAGAGTCTCATTCTAGGATGAAGCATCTGTCCAGTGCCTCTTAGTTTCCAGTCATTATCTAAACCATGTTAGTCCGTGATGCAAACTATGAAGAATTTCAAAGAACAGAACACATTATGTAAGAAGATGTCATTTGCACCAGACGTTTCATTGGCATATTAAACAATAATCTGTTCATCAATTTACTCCATCAAGAAGATGCTTGAGAAAAAATAGTTTTACAATGAATACGTTATTAAATTCTAGATATTGCTTATTGGACTACTGTATCATATTATCAGTGTATGTTATCAATATCTATTCTGAACTACTATCATGTTGTAAGCTCATTATTAAAGTTTAATCCAGATCTTAGTATTGACTGGATCTTGTTCAATACAGCATAAGTTGATTCAGATAATATAATGCTAAAAATTTGTTATTACACAAGATTTATTATAGTAAAACCTAAGCCATTCACGACTGGATCAATAGATTAATTATGACTAGCAGTGAAATCAAGAATGCGCTATATTGAGGCAATCCTCCACAGGATCTACATTTATCAATGATGGCTAAGTAAAACTCTGTACTGAGTATCAACAACGGGATAATTTAAACTCTCTATAAGTAATAACATGACGGAATGAGTTACAATATAATTTCCAACACATTTGTTTATTTAACCTTAATTTGAATTTTTGTTATTGTTTAATAAAATCCATTATTATCAAGTAGTATAAAACATATTTCTTGAAAAAAAGACACTAACTATTGTTCTTTCATACTTGAACTCGGAGAGACTCTAATTTATGGGCGATCTTTGAACGAATCTTAAGCGACCTTGAGAAATATTAGCCAATCAGCAAACAGTCAGTATAGGGTAAAAATATGTTATACAAAACCAATGAAATAAAATGGATACACTTCTTATACGTGGTTCAAAAACTTTTCAAGGTTAGAAAGAGGTTCAGAGGTCCTAAAATCTTAATGCATGCAGTAGAGAAAATCATCCATACGGCTACAAAACAGTCGGCCTCTGGAGTCATGATGAAGTTTCAAATACTCTTTCAGCCTCGACCACATAGCTTCAATATTGTTTATGTGCACACCGGTTGATGAGTGCACAACATGCTACTTGTGGATAACGACACGATGCACAGAATCAAGCCCATGTAGGAGTTCGTTCGCTCTCCAAACATCCTTATATATTGTAGTACCTGGCTGCAGCCAGTGTTACTGGTGCTTTTATTATCCATTTCGCAATAATTGTCGTAATCTGCCTTAGGAAGTATATATGGGGTTTTCATCACGAACTGACATCAGCTATAATGCCAGAAATTTATTTAGCCAAATGGATGAAAGGCTTTCGCGTTAAAATCCGAGATCTGTTATCTTGTACCTGATTGATTCGTCCACAAATTATAGTATCGCCGTTTTATTTGTTATAGCCGCTCAATTATCACATTTTGTACAAAATTCCCCGTGAACCGTTCGTACGTTAGCATTAAGCACTGAAGTTGGTGCCGTAACCTTGAAATCTCTAAGACGCCTCTGGTTGACTCGTCCATAAATTAGAGTCTCGCCTTGAACTCTTTTTTAAAAAAAAATATCGATCTTTTTTGTTTTACAGCTTCACGATGCTGAAAAATTAAATGAACAAATTAAAAAATTATTATTAGACGGTATACCAGTCAATAATCATAACGATCCGATTAATTATGTACGAGAACAAACGGCAAAATTATTGAAAGAATTAAATTTAACTCTACCATTGCATAATCAACCAAAAGTCTCAGTGCTATCATCACCATCACCACCATCATCATCATCAGCAGCAGTAGCATGATCATTTTCGGAATCGTCTAATATGAATTAACCCAGGAGTTTCACTACATTACAGGTCAAAAAATTCTAATGATAATTTAGAGAAGAAAACAGGATCAAATTATTATATCTTTTCTGTTTTGTACATGTTTTGTATTTCTTTTCAGAAATTCTATTTGTATTTAAGTTTTCCTGTTTATTTGTATATTTTCATGCCTTGAATGAAAACTTTCCTTTTTCTAAATTCATTGAATGAAATAAGTGCATTTGAGAAATGGTCATTCTCATCCATGGTACAAATAATAATATACCTCCATAAATAATTCCAATACTACTACTACTACTACTACCACTACTACTACTACCTAAACTCATGTTACTATCAATACTACTGACATTACATATAAAATAACAAATATTACAGGGAAATCAAACAACCAGGAAAGATTAAGATATAAGAAAAAAGTAGAGACAAGACAATCTGTGATATGCATTATACATATGTACATACTTATTTGTTTGTTTATTTTGAAGATATAAATGTAATTTTTTTATTATTATTTCTCATGAATATACTACTTATTTGTAAAAACTAAATTCAGAAAATAAAATTTGTACACTAGTCTATTAATTATTATTTTAAGTTGAAGATTTTGATGTTAATAGTGCGATGGATGAATAAGCTCCTTGATTCATTTCAATGAACAAAAAAGAAAATCTCATAGTTTTAAATGGTGAGCGTTTAACAAGTTTAGATAAATACTTATCGATTACACGATTATATAACAGTCTAGATTGTGAAAGCTTTCATAAGAGTGATATCATTTGTCAATCATTTAAATGAAAAAAAACACTATTATCTGTGTGGTCCAATTATCATAAGATAATTATCACGTTATGAATTATGTGAGACTATAATTTATTAGATGGTGGTCGGAGGTAGTAGACAAGAAACCGTGGACCCTGGAACGTGAAGCTGGGCCACACGGGATCAAATACGCCAGGGAGCACCAGTTCCCTCAAGATTACAAGTACACCTTGCTGACGAGTGCCAAGTAGCACGAAACCCGGGTTCAAGGTTTCCTGTCGACTACCTCCAACCACCATCTAATCTTAATATATAGTGCCAGCAATGTCGAGTCACCTAGACTGGTGTCCACATTGCAACATGGTCGATAACATTCGATCTGCACTAAATAAGAACTTGACACACATGACATTGATCACCACCAAATGATCGATCAATTGTGACTATAATTTATGGACCACCTTTGAGCGAAGCTGAAGTGAACGTTAATATAACCAACTACTAACTAAGACTAAATGAGCATTATAAAGCAGTGTTAGGAATTAGAATTAACATTTACAGTTGACGATTAGGGTTTTTCATCACGAACTAACATCAGGCTAAAATGTAAAAACGCTATTTAGCCAAATAGATGAATGAATTGTATGCCGAAATCCAAGATCTGTTATCTTATTTCTGATTGGTTCATTCATAAATCATAATCTCGCTATGATTCGAATTTAAGTGTAATTAATTCAACTTCTTTGTTGGTCGTCTCTTTTCATTTCATTACAGTTAGTATAATATAAATAAATTTTGTCTCATTATTATAAGAACCAAACGAGTTTATCTTATGTTCACTGTAATGGTCAAAACCTTAATTACTAAAAGACAATTAGATAAATTGTCCAATGATTCTATTAAGTGGAAATATAAATGAATGAATCATATTCACATAGAAATTATATACAAAAACCTTTTTCTTACAAAAAAGAAACGTAGATATATTGTGATATGTATGCAAAAGTGAATGATATTTTGGATACACCACAGAATGTATATCATAGGGAAACAAAATGTTTATTTAGTTCATATATCTTAATGAAAAATACCATTTACTATTATCTTGTAATAAGTCAAGGTTGTCTGGTTATTATATTCGGATACTGATGTCCTATTTTCAGTTAAGTACCGATAATTTGATTTCATTATTCAAATTAAAGTGACTTTAAATTAGACAAATAATAAATATGTGAGAATAGCTGCAGACTATTAGAGTTATCAAGAGAACAGAACAGTTGTTTAGCTATAATTTAGGCCTACTTGGCCGTACATATCTATGACACCATATGGGGATGAACATAGAACTCTTATCTCTTATGCTGATCACGCAACCTCCAGATTATTGAGTTGTAAGCTAGGAATCAATCATGTCAAGAGTGAGTGGTCCGATCAATAATTCGCTACCCCTTAATCCGCGGCATTTTCACGTTATAACAGCACGGATCATGGTCATTGGATAATATTTACTCTATATAACTAAATTACTGAAGTTGAAGATATCAGTTATTTTGTGCAGATTTTTCGTTCTAAAGTTAAAGTACTCGCTGCAAGAAATGAAAGTACTGTGTTCTATAATGTATGCGGTGCTTTGGACACTTACTTTGTGGGGGCCTTTGAACAAAACAAAATATTTCTTCAATAGTCTCTTAGTTTTTGGGACTTCTAATCGATTTTTATTTTGTTGTCATGACTATTTCAAAAATGAATTGTTTTTCAGTGCTCAAAATAGACTGTCTTGTTTTCTACTCACTTATTAGTAACATGTTATATTCATATAGAATTAAATATGTTGAGATGCACTTTTAGTGAATGATTAGTTTCTAGTGTGTCTACCTAATATCAGATTAACTTCGAACTATATGAATACATCTATGTGACAAATTTAGCATTCAGTCAAACAAGTAAATTTCCTTTGGTGTAGTAAAATCAGATATTGTTCTTTGGGTATATTAAGATATTTTACCAGTGGGATTTACATCTTATCCTTGGGGTAATCTTTATAACTCATTATTAGTAAGGTTTTAAATTACCTCATTGTTGCTCAAGACTGAAATTTGATTAGTCATTTTTGTCATATGTTGATTACATTGATATAGCATTTTACCGCGAATTTTACCATTCGGAAAGATAAACAGGTTTCTGGTTGGTGATTTTGATACCTGATACGATCCTACGCTAGATAAAATACGCTAGATAATTAGATCGATAAGACCAAACACTGGACTGCGTACTAGATCAATGGATCATGATGAATCACGACACTTAATCAAATGATGAGCTGTCATACAAATATACTATAACCGATCAAGAACCCAATATAATCACAATATACTATGATAAATACAAACGTTTAAAGAAGTATATATATATATATATATATATATATATATATATATATATGTATATATATATAACATAAATCTCCGTCTGTGCTCAATATTGATCATTACTCATTCCTACCGGATATATTCCGACGTTTTAGGAACTGATATATGGCATTCAGAAAATTTTTACGAATTCCTTAGACAGATATTGACAATTTCTAGACTCATTTAACAGTGATTGTCTCTGAAGATAGTAAAAAGATTTTCGAGACAAAGTAAAACTCAATTTCACGAATAATGATCCTTGTAATGCACTGTATGAGAAGAACCTAGGTGATCGCTTTAATCGTCCCAAAAGTATGTAAGAGTAATCACGAATGTGAGTCTCTAACTATTGACGATTGATTCCTTCTGAAATTTCAATGGTCACAACGAGAACAGACACCAATGTTTGAGGAAAATTTTGGATCTCCCAGGAAACCAAGATGTAACTTACGAAAGTTCATTTGCGAAATTTAAAAAAGGACTCATGCTTTGTAATTTATTTAATTTCAGATTGGAAATGACTCATGACATGTTTTTGATTAGCTAAAGCTAGACAGATTTCTCTCAGGAGCCTGTAGCGATAAATAAATCACCACAATAAATAGTTCTCTCAGCCTTCGACATTGAAACTGACCTCGTTATTTTTACTGGATACAACTTAGCTGAATGCGTTTGGTCAGTTATCCGTAACAGACCACGACTGTGTACGCTATGCAACACATACCTCCGGACAACTAGTCAGCTTAGTTCACACATCTTTGGACTACTTCGGCTGCTTTACGAATATATGTATTCAAACTTGCTTATCCCTGACTTTTGGTTTAGTTAGGTTACGGCTAACGGCGTTGTTTAGCCCTAAATATCAACCACATATTTAGTGGTGAGCCTGATTTGACTTAGTATACCAAGCAATAACCTGTTGCTCTACTCCTTGTAAAATAATATACATACCTTTACATAGTGTGATATCATTTTCATTTTCTCAGAACCTTTTCGGATATTTATAAACTTTATTCTCACTATGCCATAATAAATACCTAAACTTTTAAAAACTTAAGACTCCCACCTTGCAGCACATACCATTCTGACCCAACAATATAGAAACCTTATTATACTATCTATAACCTGAAGTACAGAGTGGTTGACCAACTTGTGCAGTTCCTTCCAGTAGTGAAGGCATTGCCACGCTCCTTCTACAGGTACGCCACAATTAGTATGCTTACTAGTGGTGCTTTGAACCCTATGACACCTGAAAAAGGTCATCCATAAACGGGGAGATCCAATAAAGGTTAGACTAGTTATTCCACAATATCGAATCGCAACACAACAGAAACGTTGTTATGTATGCGAGAGGTCATCGGCCAGCAAACTTAGACGAAAGTGTTTTTAGACAACTCTTTTCTTCTAAGCTTTCCCATCAACTCGTCGACCCAAGCAGATGGAAGTTTTTAGGTGGGGATAATAAAATACCAGTTTACAGAGTTTTATTTTCTGGTTTTAGGTTGTACCCAGTCACAATTATTGATGTAATTGATCAGTAGTTCAAACCCGTAACATCTTTAGTCACTTCACCTATCCCCCAATTTCTCCCATCCAGTTAAACCTACTCAAAATGAGAAATGATCACATTTGGATAATGATAAGGTCTGTTAAGATTTAGGGATTTTTCACTATTAGTTAGCTGCTCATGTAACGCAACGATAAAGTTTAAATAATTATTACAAAACACTAAGTGACTAAATGTTTTCCCTACTCATACCTTACTTGACATCTGTGTCTGATTGGATTTAACCCGGCCATATTGTTGAAATGATAATGAACAGACAAGTACTAGAAAGTAACTGGTTCCAAAGCTCTGTGTCATGTAGATAAGAATTAAAATTTGATTGTTAAACTATTAGAAATATGAAAGATACATAACATATCAAAAACTATTAAAGGATAAATATTTTTGGTTTTGTGTAGTATACTACCCATAATTAACATAAGCTATGTGGTTAATGTTTAGCATAAATACACGTCAATCTAAGCCACCACATCACGTCGACACAGTGAAAAGGATACGTAGCAAAGAATCTCTGTAATACTAGTATCTGTGATAGCTAAATAATAAACAAAGAGGTGATTACTAAAGAAGGAATGAATTCAAATGTCAAAAAGTAGGAAATAATCTTAAAGCTCAGTATATGAAGAAAGATAATGAATAGACGTGCGTCACCAACCATTCATCATGAATACCGCTTATGTACCAACCAGATGATCTGCTGACACCAAAAATAAATGAGTTACTAGTATGTGCTGTGTAGATTATTGGATTTCGTTAAAATCACGAACGGATCTAAGTTAGACCACCATTGAAAACCTGGAGGCACTAGACAGCCATTTTATCCTAGTGAGGCACTCG